AATATTCAATAGCCATTGTTCTCTCTCTTGTTTTGAATTTGATTTGCTTGTTCTTGTTACAGGAAGAAGCTGTGCTAGTGGAGATGGAGCAGAGCAAGAAAAAGAATAATAGTAAGAGGGAGAAGGAGATTGATGCAGTTAGTTGACGGCGGCAAAGCAAGCGTTGCTGCAGAGTTAGGGTTTAATTTCTTAGGTTAAGTTGGTTTAGTTTTTTTTTTCTAAACCGGGTTTATGTGTAGACCAGCTTTAGGTTAATTATGGTTTGGTTTAATGTTTGTAATTAGTTTTTGGTTTAATGTATTTTTTTTTAATTATTTGTATGCTGATTTTAATTAATAAATAAAATTTAATCTTTTATGAATTAACTTGAAATTTCATTATTAATTATTTTATTTTAATTAACGATTGTTAATTAATTAAATTTTAATAATTAATTTAATATTTTTAATTATTTTATATTTAATTATAGCATTATATATATGTCATTATAAATTATGTTGTGGCACGTGAAAAAAGCCATAGAAAATCATATAATAGCAAAATTATGGTGTTATTAATACATTTTAATATAGCGTAGCATAAATGCTATAATCTCTTTAGTTTTTATAGCACATGAAAATACGCTACAATAGGTGGGGGGTCTACCATAGCTGCGGCTGTCACGGTGTTCTTCGAAACGCTACGAAAACCCTATAATAGCGTTTTTCGGGTGCTACCAATACCGATATTTCTTGTAGTGCTAGATTAATTGTCTTCTTGAGATCGTTGAGAGCCGAAGCTCTATCCGAGAACAAGGTTTAGAGTTTATAAAAGCTCTGAATATTATTGATAAGATAAGTCGTGCCTTTCACAATACCTAAGGCATCGATATATATAGATAGTTAAACAAAACCTAAAAGATTAAGGAATAGAAGTTTTCCTTATCTTTGACAAATAAAAGGAATAAAGCCATAAAACTTAAGTAATCGTAAAGAAGGAAATAAGACTAAAAGCCAAAGCCAAAACGTAGTAGGATGTATGCTGCATCACTATGACAATGAAGCGCCAACACAAGTGTTAAAAAAAACAATCAGGACCATATTACTATGCCTCCTTGTTTAGTTGATATTGAAAACTACAATTACATAAACTTGTAGGATGGTGTGAATGTGAAAGGATATTTTGCATGGTCGTTGATGGATATCTTCGAGTGGTCGGAAGGATACACTGTCCGGTTCGGGCTAGTGTATGTGGACTATAAGAATGGACGTAAGAGGTATCCCAAGAAATCAGCTAAGTGGTTCAGGAGAATGTTGAAGGGAGAGTATAATAGGACGAAGCAGCAAGTGGCTGTTATGTAATATATCATGAGCCTCTACAGCTTGTTGTCCTCATATCATATGTACCTTTGCGATTTGATGTGCAGAAAATAAGAGTTTTTTTAAAAGATAATAAGAAGTGGCTTTGTTTTGGATGTTACCAAAATTTAATATTGGAAAAACTTTGGTAATCTTGGGCGTTCGTTGAGATTCAAAACATTTTTGAAAATCATTGTTATTTGTCTCTAAAATTATGAATCTCTTATGCTTCCTTGTAGAGTATTATGAACCAATCTAGGATCGGAAGACTCGAGATGTAATCGCGAAGAAGTACACAAGTCTTTTTTACGAGTTCCCCAACTTAATAAGCAGCTTCTTCGCAATCCACTATGATGATGATAGTATCAACGAGAGAGAGAGAGAGAGTCAAAGACTTCTTCAGACAGAATACCAAAGAACCAAGCCATAATCTTCTGATCATTATGAACCCAAACGTTGATAGATAGTATCTCGTTTAACTTTTTTATTTCTTTTCTTTCTCTCTCGCTACAGAATCTTCGAAAATAGGCCGGGCTCAACCAAAAACTCAAAGCCCACATTGAAGACCATCATCTTCCACCCAAAAACGAAAAACCATTGTCACTCGATCACGCAACTACAAGCCGTAAACCGAATACTAAACAAATGCTGAGCCTGAGATTAAACCGAGAGTCAATAAAAGTTCTATTACACATGCGGCCGGATGTGACTAAGATTTTGGAGTCACTGATTCCTAAAAATAAGTGATCATGGGGGTCCGTTACGGAAGGATATGCATTCTTCCTTACTAGGATATGGATTCTGTTAAAAGAGGAAACTTGTTCTTGAAAATTTCAACCAAAAAAACTTAATAATGGGCATATATACAGTAAAAAAAAAAAACTAAATCACTGTCGGCAGATTTTGTGCTTTTACATAAAAGTTAGTAAATATTTTCTCCACAATAAACACAACATTGCTCAATTCCCCATCCTCTCATTCTAACTCTAGTGGATAATCTGTCTAGTTTAAACGCTAGCCAAACCATGATAGATTGTCGAGGAATGGCCTGAGGGAACCACACAAGTCTGTACCATAGGAGCTTGGCTTTCTTAATTCGCAAGTAATCTGATTATTAACCAAAACAAATTAAAGTAGGAATGATTGGTTTGATTAATCAGACAATTTCAGCGTACAAATGTGTAATTAATTAGTTAGGTTTTATTGTTTGTGTTTGTGCGTCTGCTTGACTTTTTTTTTTTGAAAAAAGGCTTGCATAACTAAAATAGTAGAACAATATGGTTTTACCACCATATAATTTTATAATGTTGCTAAAGAAGGAGAAATCTACTATAGAGAAGATTTTAGTAACACAAAGAGCAAGAGAAACCTCTCTAAAATCCTTGTTTCGCGCTTGACGTATGCATGCAAATTGTTTAATTGTTTGACTGTTTCTACTCTAAGACGTGGAATATATGATAATTAGCTAAACATGAGAACAGCTACAAACATCCGCGTCCATTTTTAGTAGTTGTTCTCATCTCGTTATTGATAACTGGACATGTCATAGTACTTTGTTTTATTTTCTTTCTAGACATGAATCATCTTTTCTTAAGGAAAGTAACTTACGGTTTCGTGAAAGAGGGGTCTCTATCCAATTATAAAAAAAAAAACAAAAAACAAAAAACAAAAATTCTACAACAATCATGATATTTTTTGGATAAAAAGTGTTATTAGTTTTTTTTTTTTTTTTTGGGTAAAAAGTGTTATTAGTTTTCTGCAATGTTTCTTGATCTTTTGTTGTTAGTGTTGTTTGGACGTTTGATGCATTTGTTTTGTACTTTGTTTTGGGTGTTTTATGCACCTGGTGTCTAATAAATACATCAAATGCCGATAAAAATCATCATGTGAAAAAATGATCCTACCGCAGTTAAATAAACACATATAATATAAGTTTGTAAAAATATGAAAGATAAAACATAGATAATATAATTTTAAACGCTTTAACATGTTTTCATTAATTTTACTTTTCTATTTACAAATCTTCTTAATAGTTTTGAATATCTAATTTATTACTTCAGTTTTTCCAAACGTTTAGGATAACTATTCCAAAATAAATAAGAAAAAAAATATCTTTGTATAAGCCCATCTCCTTATGTTGGAAATTTAGTTGCTCATATACAAATATATATTTTCCTAAAAAGCAAAACATGTCATTGCCAGTTACTTGTTCTCATCCCCTTCTATTGGAATGTGATAAGGACTATTGCTCATCTCTATTTTTTGGAACATTATAATTTATCTTGTCTGATAATTCTCAAAGACAACTATTCTCCATATATTATATTCCCATAGTGAGACAATAACAAAGGGAATTCACTTTGTTGCTGTTTTCATTTCATTACACCATATATTCTCAAGTATGCATCTGTAGTTAAATATCTAAAGGTCCAATATCAAATTAAGATACTAGAATTTGTAAGAAATTTTTTTAAAAATACATTAAGGTCTATTAATTCTATGTTTTAATTACACCCAATAAAAATTATAAATGTTTTAACAAATATCTTATCGCACCGGCCGGATCCAATAGACTAGTGGCCTACGCCCATCCGTAACTTTTTGCACCAATGGAGTTGGATTCCCTTTTCTCCCGATGAGTGTGATCCAATAGGCTAGTAACAAATGAAAACAAAATGATACAAAAATACATTGCTTTTGGATGAAGATGACACGTACATTTACCAAACATGAAAAATCATTTATGGAAAAAAAAAATTTGGGCCAATATTTTTTCCTACTAAATCTTTGGATGTTAATATATATTATAGACATGAATCAACAATATTAAAAGTTTCATGGAATAGTGTCTTCCTGTATATATACATCCATTAAAATTGGAATATTTAATTAAAAGATATGATTTGGCCAGTTATATATTACAAGATAAGAATAACACGACTTCTTTATCACAAAAGGAAAAAAATAACAAATTCAAGAAAACTTGCAAGCGCGTGACGGTGTGTTGAACATTACACGTGAAATGTGGTAAGCGTACATTACATGCAGCCTGCGCAGGATATGTTAACAGTGAACGAAGCCACGATTTTGAACACATTCAACACCAACACTATTTACACATACGGACAGTAATCATGAAATTCTTCGGTCAAAACAATGGTGAACGTGAGCAGTGATCATGGGCACATTAAGAGATGACGTTGGACAAAAAGGTTCCTGACGTTTGGTTGGTAGTAATCCTTAAGATAGTAAAAACTAAGAATCCAAAATGGAATTCGTGACCTATTGTACATAATAGTCCTAAACTAGAAAGAAATATCCGGGAATATATATTATAAAAGTACTATAAGTTATCTTTCCATCTATATTTGATATATGTCTAAATATTGCCACGTAGATGACGTCTATAACTGGATGGGGAAAAAATCTATATAAAGAGAAGATAGAGTAAATCTCTATTCAATATTACACTCTGAAATCTCAGAAACACATAAGAAAAAATAGAGAGAGAGAAGGGGGAAAAAAAATGGCTAGGGGATATCGTTTCTTCATCATCCTTTCGATAATCTCATTGTTTGCAAAGATAACCGATTCTCGAATATTAGATCGACATAGTTTTCCTGATGGTTTTATTTTTGGAACAGCTGCCTCTGCATATCAGGTGATTTAATGTATTAGAAGAGTTCTCCTGTATGTTCGCAGCTAATTAACTTCTGTCGCTATAGTGATTTCATCTTTCATTCTACATTGGTTCTTGCGGTATTATCTATCATAGTCTTTATGTTATAGCAAAGTAATATGGACAAAGATTGATACGTGTAGGCTAGTGGGTGGGCACTCTGATGCTCATCATAAAGAACCCTACATATTTAATGGCTTGTTAAGTTTTTTTTGTGTCCACTTTGGTTATAACAAATTATGTTACTGGTTATATATGTCATCCTAAAATAGCTTTTCGATGAAAATAATTGTTTTTTTGTTTATATTCATGCAGTACGAAGGAGCAACAGATGAAGGTGGCAAGTCTCCAGCTATATGGGACCACTTCAGCCGCACTTACCCAGGTTTGTCGGAAAAAAATATAGCTAACCTTACGAACGAACCGAATTTGGTTTAAACACACTCATTACGAACAAGACCATATCTCTTAGTTAATTATCTGTTACTTAAGCTAATGACTTTTACTGCAGAAAGGACGAAGATGCATAATGCAGATGTAGCTATTGATTTTTATCACCGTTATAAGGTACTATCTCTAATCAATATCATCTTTTCTGTATACTATAACAGTCAATCTTGTGATCAAAAACTAAATCAAACTATCAGATTCATATCATGTGAATTAAAAAAAAATTGTACATGTCTTACTAGAAATAAGATCGATTGTATATATATTATGATAAGGCATATCTAGTTGTTTAGATAGATCTTAACATCTTACATTTAGAATTCATATGTATTTCCTAAACTTGTATGATAAGGACATGTAACATGCTTGGTTGATTGAATAATAATGACGTAATTCCAGTAATATGTATTTTCTAAAGTTTGAAATTACCAGTCAAATGAAATTAACTTTCAAGATAAGTCAATTTACTTTTCTCAAAAGTTGGTACGTTGTACCTAGACTATAGTTATCGTTTTGATTTGGTTGATTAAATATAATCTTTATATGACACACAAACAAACAAAAACAGGATGACATCAAATTGATGAAGGAGCTAAACATGGACGCTTTTAGATATTCAATCTCGTGGGCCAGATTAATTCCAAGTAAGCTTTATATGTATTTTGTTGATGATTATACTATTCTTTACAGAAAATAATTATAATCTTGTATCAATTATATCAGTTAATTTCTGTGGTAAATTTTCAATTATCTACAGGTGGAAAGCTAAAGGATGGAGTCAACAAAGAAGGTGTACAATTCTACAAGGATCTTATTGACGAACTTGTTGCTAATGGTAAGAACAATATTTACTAGTTAAGTTGTTAAACATGTGATTATAGCTTAAAATAATAAAAAATCGTATATAAAAGAATCTTATATATATTAATAAATATGCAGACATACAACCATCAATGACACTATATCATTGGGACCATCCACAATCTCTGGAGGACGAATATGGTGGCTTTTTAAGCCCTAAAATTGTGTAAGCCTGATTAGAATATGTCCTATATTTCAAAACATATATTACTTTCTTTATTATTGTAAATAGGATTGATTTAGTGTTTTTTTTATGAACAGAGAAGATTTTCGAGATTTCGCAAGAATATGTTTTGAAGAGTTTGGAGATAAAGTAAAGATGTGGACAACGATCAATGAACCATACATCATGACTATTGCGGGTTACGACCAAGGTAACAAGGCGGCTGGACGATGCTCAAAATGGGTAAACGAAAAGTGCCATGCGGGTGATTCGAGTACTGAACCTTACATTGTCTCGCATAACGTTCTTCTTGCTCATGCTGCTGCGGTAGACGAGTTCAGAAAGTCTAAAAAAATATCGCATGATAGCCAAATAGGGATAGTTTTATCACCAAGATGGTTCGAGCCTTATCATTCAGACTCTACTGAAGATAAAGAAGCAGCTGAACGAGCTCTTGCTTATGAAATTGGATGGTAAGTTTTTTTTTTCTAAACACATCAGTCTTTGATTATTCTGATAAAATTCATCATATAATCTTGATTTGGATTGTATCTGTAAACAGGCATCTTGACCCAGTGATTCACGGAGATTATCCAGAGATAGTAAAAAAGTATGGGGGAAATAAGTTACCTTCATTTACTGAAGAACAATCTAATATGTTAAAGAACTCATCAGATTTTGTCGGAGTAAACTACTATACAGCACGCTTCGCTACTCATATTCCTGAGATCAACCCAGCAAAGCCTCGGTTCAAGACTGATCATCACGTCGAATGGAAAGGTATGTATTTTTATGCTAATTATTTACATATAAAATTATGATCCATGCCAATTTCAATATATATATATATATATATATACACATATATATAATTAGTTTATAAACTAAACAATGTTTATGAAATTATTTGAAACAGTGACTAACCACAGTGGCCACATTATCGGACACGGGGTACGTGCTTGCGCATACTTCTTTTAAATAAAATATCATCCTATGGTTTTAATATCTGTATTATTTTGTTCAGGATGAAAGGGGTTTAATATTGTCACATCCCGAAGGCTTGCGTAAAATTCTAAACTATATCAAAGATAGATACAATAACATCCCGGTCTACATCAAAGAGAATGGTTAGCAAACTTCTACTTTTTATTATGTCAACTGGAGATTCCCAAACTTATAACTTATATCTGCTAACTAGAATATTCTGGACTGTATAAAACGTAAATAGTTATTTTCAGTATTGGGTTTAAGTTTTTTTTTTTCAATTTTAGACTTAAACTCATATAAGTTATTTTGAGTATGAATTGCAGGAATCAACGATAACGACGATGGTACAAAACCAAGAGAAGAGATTCTTAAGGACACGTTTAGGATTGAGTACCATGACACACATATCCAACAACTTCACAAAGCTATAGTGTTAGTTCTTGATCTTTCTAATAATCTATATATACATCAGATTGATTATTCTTTTATTAATAAAGTTGTATGTGGTTGATTATAGTGAAGATGGGTGTGACGTAAGAGGATATTATGCATGGTCAATGATGGACAACTTTGAATGGGAACATGGGTACACTGCTAGATTTGGTCTTTACTATGTTGACTTTGTCAACGGTCTCAAACGTTATCCAAAAGATTCAGTTAAATGGTTTAAGCGATTCCTCAAGAGATCAATCGGAGAAACTAAAGAAGAGGAAGTGAAGGAGATGTCACGTGCGGATATGAATGAGACTCTCTATGAGCAAGTAGATTTTGATGAATACTCAGGATTTGTTGCATCTTTCATGGCGACGAACCAATCGAAGAGAGAACAAGAGAAAAATCGCTGCTCTTCTGATTTATTTTATAGCAGTTTTGGTGTTTTGAAGGAAATAGAAGATTCATCATCGTTTTACCGATTGTAAAATATTTATGGTTAAATATGTATTTGCTTATAAGTTAGAACTTCATGTTATGTATGAAAAAAGTTCCTGACTGTTATGTATGAATATTATCTCTTAGAAATAAATGAGCATAAGTTTTTTTCCTGGAAAAATGTGTACCAAATTTTTGATAATTACTTTTTTTACTCCTTTGGTGTTATTTTATATGTTGTAAATTTTCTTGTCATATTGTATAATGTAAGAAGTTAACTATATTACTGCTTTTTATTTTAGGTTGGTTGTCTTCGTTATAATTGTGGACGTTAGGGCATCCACATCAATGAACCCCCTCTTGGGGTTCATTGAATCATTTTTTTATTATTAAAAATTTTATGTTTTCTTTTTGATTTTTTTTTTTTTTTAAAAAAAACAAAAAAAAAATCTTGACTAATCCCGAGCCGCCACGTGTTGAACCTCAGGAGAGAGGGGTTCACCGCAGTGAACTTTAGGAGAGAGGGGTTCATGGGTTTCTCTTATTTTATTATTTTTTTTTCTTGATTTCCGTGTGAACTCCCCCCTATGAACCTTCAATGGGGGTGCTCTTAGATAAACAAAAACTTGAGTGCATTTTTATACAAATAACTGAACACACTTATCTGCTAATAAATAACTAGGTACAAATATTTATGATTACAATTATTAGTAAAATGTAAAAATTACTTTGTAAAAACAATATTATTAAAATTTACAAAATTTGATTTTTGTTTATATATCTTCTTACTGAATATAAAGTTAATATTATTAACTGAAATTTCGTTTTAAATTTAAATTATTTAATAAATTATATATAAAAGTTTATTAAGAGTAACATTGATATTAACCGCTCTAACTTTTAAGGTGAGAGCTCCGATAAATCATTTCGTAAATAATAATATAGATAAATACACATATAATAATGATCTTCAAATCCTATATATAATAAATAGTTCAATCACTAAAACACCATATATTTTGATTATGTTTGTCATATTTTTTTTTTGTTATTTCTTGTAGCTAACAAGTTGTTATCATAGCACCACAACTCTGTTTTTTTTTTTATTAACAAGGAAGTATTCTAAACCTATCGAAAAGTCCAGACTAATCAGCTCACGGATATCTCTTTCTGTTTTTATCACAACTTCAACTTGATCCTATAAAAAAACGTTGGATCCTTTCTCACAAATGTCAAGTTGTGGCTTTCTTAATCACAAGATCAAAGTCAAAGACGACACAAGCAGTCAGAAGAACTTGTGTACGGTATAGGTGTACCTTTCTTCTCTTTTTACTTTTGTCAACAAAACTTATCCTTGTTCAAAACGCTGGACCAAACTCAAAGATGACATCAATCGGTCCAAGGGAAACGACAATATTTGCAGCAGGAAGAAGCAAGTAGAATCTATGTGGCTTTTGTCGCTGTCGCTTCAATTTTGGAGGCAAGCAAATTCGTCCTCGACCGTGACTATGTGTCGTCTCTATCTCTCTCTACTAGTTGTCAAAAACCTAACGGTTTAAACAATATGCTTTCATGCAGCATAATTGGAAGGTTATCATAAGTGAATATATCTCATTAAAAACTATATATATATATTAGGTAATAATCCCCGTTTTGCGCGGAATATGATTATTAGTTTCGTTAATGTTTTAATAAAGAGATATTAAATCTGCTTAATTTGGATATTGTTTTGATTTTAGATTTTTCATTTTTTTCTTTTTAATCTCCTAAAATATAAAATCCTTTTAAATCAATGTTTATTTTGGTGTATTTGGGATAAAATGTTTGATGTATTTTGGTTTTTCCGGTGATAACCAAAAATTATTATTATTTATTTGGATTTCATGTTATATGAATTTTAGATAGTTCTAATGTCAAACTAATGATTTGATATTATAGTTTATAAATAGATGATAGTTAAAGATAACGAAAATAAAATTATTAAGACAAATTATTTCACTACAATTTGGTCGATAGTGAAAAAAATATTAAGAAAAAACTATTTTAGCTTCTAAAATAACTAGATACTTAGTTATGGTGAATATTTAGTTATATATGTGCTCATGTCAATGTGCACGTACATATGTAAAAAATATATAGAAATGGTTGATAAATATATAAAGATACTGAAAGTTATTATTAAATGGTATTTTTTTGTTCAAACATAAAAAATAAAATTCTTAAAATAGAATTATTTATAAATAAAATAGGCCTATACACTAGTAAAGTTTTTTCATATAAATAAAATCAAATTGTATCCGTAAATAGGGGTGGGCATGAATCATATATCCGGGTATTTGGAGGTATTCGTGTCGATTCTCGATCCATATCCACCTAGATAGTCGGTGTCTCGGATATCCGGAAAATTTTAGAATTTTAATGGATATCCGATTTGATATGTACCTAAATATAATCTATTAAATTAAACTAAAATATAAAAAAATAATACAAAATAATAATACTGTATTGTAAAATAAAATTATTTAAAAAATGTTAAACTCTAATACCTAATATAATAAATTTAATACATAACAATATTGTAAACTTATATAAATTATATTATATATATAATTCTTTACATATATGTATATATGTGATCATCAGATATTCATTCCTAAAAATAGTAATATTTGTGATTCTCTCACTACAAGAAACATTTTTTTTACTAGGGCTATATTCGTGGTTAATTCGTCGTAATATGACCATTACGACGAATTAATAAGGTAACACGTTTCGTTGTTAATCGCCCGTTGTAATTGACTTTTCGTCTTAAAGTCCACGTTCTGTTACGAGGAACAAGGGTCATTGTAAAAGACAAGTAGAAAGGTTTGTCGTAGCCTCAATGTTAACTTCCCTCATAAACTCCTCGTTCTATTTCCACGTAATTGCCTCGTAAATGTTCGATGTCAACTCCATGTAAATATTCGAGGAGATTACTAGTAGTACATGTAAAGTCGAAGTAAATATTACAACGAACGTACTTGTAATTCGATGTTAACTCGTGGTAAAATTTACGAGGAATTTACTTGGATGTATATATAATTTATAATTTTAAAAAGTTTTATATATTTTTATTTATTAAATCCGTAATTTAAAATATAAAACCAAAAATTTTAAAATCAAAATTGTTTAAAAAACATTATATAAAAAGTCATAAAATAATATATAAATTTATAATACAAAAGCAAACAAAATAAAAAAACTACGGCATGTTGTTGCGGAGGTACTCGTCGGGGCGGGTGAGTTCCGGGCCGGGTCGACCGGTTGACTCGGGAGGATGTTGCTGCATTCCGAGAGCCGCTCGTCTTTCATTTAGCGCTTTCTGCATAACCAGGTTATCGGTCGCCATGATGTCCAACAAATCCTCAAGTGAGTCCAAATGCTACTGCTGGGAGTCCATGCGAGACCGCATCTGAGAAGTTTCCTTATCCCGTCTCAAAGTGTATGAAGAAGTTGCCCTTGGAACTTTGTTAACGGAGCCTATTCCCACCGTCCGTCCCTTCTTTCTAGGAGCCACCTTGTTTAAAAAAAATTATATAATACATTAATATTGAAATATTAATTTATATAATAGAATTAATATAAAAAATTAAAATTTATTCAAAAATTTTACCTCCTCGAGAATCCGGTCGACTTCTTCTGTAGTCAATGTGACGGGTGACCCATCGGAAGCCTGTTGGATTAGTTGTGTATGCCGCTTCTCAACCAGAGAAACCACATCATTATAGAGTTTCTCGGAACGTGGATCCACAAAAACTCCATTTGGTGTGGCGTGAGTCATCCTGAATAGCTCAGTCAGAGATGGCATGACTCCGGTCTTCTCGGCGTACAAACAAAATAAAAGAGTTAATTTTGTTTAATTACTTAATTAATAAATAAAATAAAAAAAATTAAATATTAAAAATTAAACTTACAACATCTAGACGAATCCTAGCGTGAGGCTTTTGGCCGGTTCTATGAAGCATGGGTTCATTGCCGTGCTTATCCTTCGTTCTTCGGGAAGAAGAGCACGAGTTGGAATTTTTGACGGAGGCAGGTAAGCTCCAATAGCGGATGAGACCATTCCATACAAAGTTTGAGATCTCCTTGGGCTTCCCATCATAACTGGAGAGTTCCTATTTGTCCTTCCAATCCGAGACGGTGTTGCTACAAAAGCCCCCTTCACCTTCTCGTTGATCAATAATGGCCAATGCCACTTTTGCTGAAACCAAAAAAAGATAATTTTTAAAATATTAAAAAATATATAAAATTAAATATTAAATATTATAAAAATATTTACCACAAACATTTTAAACCAAGTTATCTTCACGTGGTCTGGAGTCATACTCCAATTCGGATGAGCCTCGAGAAAATACCCCTTCATCGTGTCTGAAACACTCCGGCTAATGCGGTTGTTTACTCCAAACCTGAAAAATAATATAAACTTTGTTTGAACAAAAAATAATAATTCAACAAAAAAAACTTACCAATAAGTACCCCGCCGACGATCGGGGTCCAGAGTATCTAAACCTTCTCGCCCCGGTTGGGCAAGAAGATCCTCCACAGTATAGGCAGCATATGGTGCACTCGGAGGTACCTGCAAATCTAGATGAACCTGATCACCACCTACGGGTGTGGGAGCTGCTCGCATCGTAAAATTATTTTTCATGGAACAATCATAGGTCCTCACCCTTTCTGACCACAAGTCCTTCAGCTCTTGTATCAATGGTTGAGGAAAAACATTCTTGTCCTTCAGCTTTTTGACCGCTTTGGATGCTTCGGACCAGGGATTAATATGGTCAAGAATAGAAATTCTTGTTCTATGCATATCTCCGGAGGCAGGTTGTACGGCGTAAGAATGACCGGCCACAAAGAGTATTGTCTCTCAGACATTCCAAATGGACTAAATCCGTCCGTGCATAATCCAAGATAGACATTTCTAATATTTCTTGGGAAATCTGGGTGTACCTTGTTGAAATGTTTCCAAGCTCTTGCATCTGGTGGATGAGCAATCTCGCCATCCCGCTGGACATGTCAGCATGCCACCTCATCGCTGCAGCAGTCCTCTCAGATTGATATAATCTTTTCAGCCTATTTGTAATTGGTAAGTACCACATCCTTTGGTACAGTACCCTATTCCTTCCACGTCCTTGC